GCTTGATCTCCACTGGAGAATATTCAAAGCTTCTATGACCTTCAGTAAGGAAAGATGCAAAGTACACTTCTGGCAACTGAAATCTGAAGTAGGTAAAATCTTGAATTTTGTTACATTGTTACTTAAGAGGCCTTGCATCAAGAAATCAGTGGTGCAATTTCACATTATTTGAATTATGATTCCAGTGATCTTTTTGTGAACTCAGAGTTCAACTATTATAACTCTTGAAAAATCAAAGAAAAGCAATTAAATAAAGATGTGTTTCCTTGAATTTACCACAAATTGAGAATGGAGTCTTAGTCATGCCATCATCAACATTGTAAGAAATAATTACCCTGACTTCAAAAAGTGTCACTCACTATCCCTGAAAAATTACCTGCTTGAAAGACAAAATAAACCAGCATTGACAGTTGCTACTAAATTCCTCCCCCAGAAAGCCCTAATTTCCAGCTGCCACTAAAAAAGAAAAATGATTACCATACTCTTCTGCTTGCTTGGTAATAGTTTAGAAGTTGATTTTTCAGACAGCTTAGGAAAAAATTTGATGAAAAGCCTCATTTTTCATAATTATAGGAATAGTACATAGTGAGCAGGAAAGAGGGAAAATCTTTTATGTGTGAGAATGTCATCATCACTAGAAGCTTAGGTATAGATGAATGACTTGGATGGACTCGAATCCCAATCAGTCTAAGGATAGGAGAATAAAAAGGTTAAGGGGAAATAGAATAAAGCAACAAGATACCAATTTGAAAGTTTCAAATGAGACATAGGAAAAGGTTATAGATATAACAAAGGCTTACAGTGGTCCAGGCTCTGTTCTATTTTAAAACTTATAATAAAGACGTGAGGCAGGAGCTTCTATATACCCCATTCTTTAGATGAAGAAACTGAGGTACAAAAGGGCCACATAGCTTGTTCAGTATCTCACTGCCACGGGTCTCAGATTCCAGTTTCAACCCAGGCATTCTGGTTTAGCATGCAGGCTAGAAATATTGCGTAAAATACCGGAGAAGTTCAAGAGACTGATTGTATGCAGAGATTTGTAGGAAACAGCCAGATAAAAGCTGGTTTTACAACACTAAAAACTAACTTTTATTTACAACAAGATGATAAAAAGAGTTCAAGGCCACATAGGTGAAAAAGATTTTGTGAGGAGGTTTCTTAAGCAAAATGCACCTTTTGAGCCCCAGGCCCTCTTCCTTTAAGAGTGACGGGTGATCTGTTTCACCCTAGATAATATACATGTTTCGATGCTGTTCTCTTGAAACATCCCACCCTCGCCTTCTCCCAGAGTCCATGTAAATCCATGGCTAATTCATTTCAATGTATGACAAAAACTACTGCAATGATGTAATTAGCCTCCAACTAATAAAAATAAATAGAAAAAACAAACAAACAAACAAAAATAATTTAAAAAAAAAAAAAAGAGTAACGGGTGGCTCCAGGCCCCTCAAAACAAGTCCAGGCATCAAGAGATGGTTAGGAAGAGGGGTTCAACAAGACCACTCAGAGAGCCTTTGCTATTAGGGATGGAGTAGACTGATATCTGACCTTTGTCTCTGGAAATCTGGAAGGCAGGACAAATAGGCTCAGGAGCAGCTTTGATGGTGGGGCTAAGGCAAGTTTCTGCAGCTTATTGAAAGTTACTATACTCCTCTCTTAAGGTGGGTCAAAGAATGTGTGATTTTCTTCTCCTGAAACAGAATGGAGAGAGAGTTAAACTGGAAAATCTGGGTTTGTTTTGTTCATGCTATTTTCCTGGTACCTAGCTAGAGTACTGCTTGTCTTAGTGGCTAGAACAGACTGTTCAGTGAATATTTACTAATTTTATAAATTAATATTAATTTATTATAGAATATTATTTTATAAATGACATGCATATTTATTGATTTATGAAAAGCTAATATAAAATAATAGTACAAAATTAAACAGAAACCTCAGTTAAGTAGTACTGGGAGACCAGAAGAGGGAGCTCTCACACCCTGTGATAATAGCGGAAGCAGAGCTTCCCTGAGAGCTCGGTTGGTAAAGAACCCACCTGCAATGCTGGGAACCCCGGTTTGATTCCTGGGTTAGGGAAATACTCTGGAGAAGGGATAGGCTCCCCACTTCAGTATTTTTGGGCTTCCCTTGTGGCTCAGCCAGTAAAGAATCTGCCTGCGATGTGGGAGACCTGGGTTCGATCCCTGGGTTGGGAAGATTCCCTGGAGAAGGGAAAGGGTACCCACTCCAGTATTCTGGCCTGGAGAATTCCATGGGCTGTATAGTCCATGGGGTCACAAAGAGTCGGACACGACTGAGTGACTTTCATTCATGGGAGAAGGGCTTCCCTGGTGGCTCTGGCTAAAAAATATGCCTGAAATGCAAGCGACCCAGGTTCAATCCCTGGATCAGTAAGCTCCCCTAGAGAAGGGAATGGCTACCCACTCCACTAGTCTTGCCTAGAGAATTGAACTGACAGAGGAGCCTGGCAGGCTACAGTCCATGAGGTCACAAAGATTCAGACATGACTGAACAACTAACACTTCCCTCGGAAGTAAAGGGGCTTGCCTGGTGGCTGAATAGGAAGAATGATGGGAGAATTTACACCATGGAGATTGTCAGACACTACAGAGCAGCCACCCGACCTCTTACCCCAACCAGAAGCTCTTTGTTAAACATTCAGCAGAATCCTCCCTTGCACCACTAGTTTCACCGAGTTTCACAGGCAAGTGCAATAAAAATTTCTAAGGTTCCAATCAATGTAATCTTCCTGAAACCCTTTTAGAGAATAGAAAGATGAAATACTCCTAAATTCATTCTGTGAATACAGTGACTGGGAGCCAAACAAGAAAGGGAATGCAAGCTCATTTTTCTCATATAAGCATCCTAAGCAAAATGTTAATAACTGTAATGATACAGTACATAAAAGTCAATGGTTAACTTGGATACATTCCAGGAATGCAAAGATGATTAGTGTCATAAACTTTATAAATGTAATTTGCCAAATTAACAGATTAAAGGAGAAAAAGTCATAGGACCTTTTTTAAAGACCCAGTAATAAGATGATAAAATTTAACATAAATTCAGGATAAACCCTCAATATAATATGATAATAATGGGTAACTAAACAACAACAACATACTCCACATAAACATCACCTAGATTGAGAAAAATAGGTGAAGAGGCCCATTGTTATAGCTTCTACTAGCACTTTATTGGCGGACTTAGAGCCAGAAAAATAGAAACTAAGATGATAAGAATTGAAAATAAAAAATAGATACTATTGAAGGCACTATCATTTACATAGGAAACCCAAAACAGTCTACAGATAATTTACTAGAAATAGTGAAAGAAGTTACAAAGTTAGATATTCATTTCTCTATACCAGGAAAAAACTTAGACAATTTAAAAGAAGTTTAAAACTTCTCTTTAAAATAGCAATCAAAACATCAAAGATATAAACCTAACAAAAGATGTAAAAACATCTTAGGAAATTTATAGACAGCATTGAAAGACATTGAAGAAGAGTGAAATAGACAAAGAGATACACATATTCATGAGAGGAAGGGAAAAGTAAAGGGTCCAAACTATCCAGCCTCATTTTGGAGCTGTGGTAACTGTGTCTTAGTAGAGGAATAGAAAAGCTGATCAGTATATAGATTGAGACACACCCATAATATGTGGAACTTCAATACATATATGAAAAAGCTAGGATGCCAGATCATCTGGAAAGAAGGCTTTTCAGAACACGGAGCGATCATAAAGGGGACACATGAAATGGAATTCCTCCCCACACTGCACCAGGATCAGCTGCAGAGGCTTCTGTACTTTGGGAAATCAGTGCAGCCATATCCTGTGAAGCTGGACATAGTCCTAGACCCAGCAATTCTCCTCCAAGGTGTGAGCCCAAAAGAAACTTCTGCACGTGTGCACCAAGAACCCTGTACAGAAATGTTCATAGCAACCCTGTCATATAGGGGCAAAAACCTAGAAACAATAACATTGAAAGGGGAATGGATAAATTGCGTTCTTATGGTATGCTTATATAATAAAATTAGAATATCCAAACAAATGAGCTCCATCTAGACACGTTTACTAATAAATATTGGCAATAAAATTTTAAGTGAAAAAATAAATCATGGAAGGTTATGTACATCTTCATATTTTCTTTTTATAAATTTTAAAATGGTTAAAAAATTTTGATGAACAGATATGGTAGAAATATGCCACAAGAGGGAGGGAGGTTCAAGAGACAAGGATATATGTATACTTGTGGTCGAGTCACATTGTTGTATGGCAGAAACAAACACAACATGTAAAGCAGTTATCCTTCAAGTAAAAATAAATTTAAAAAATATATATATACTAAGAAAAATAAAATAAAAAGTATACTACAAGTAAAGGAGAATGATAAATTTGGGATAGTAGTTGTCTTAGATAAGAAAGAAGAGGTATGAGATGGGAAAGACACATATTAGCTATTTTCAATGCTGTAGTCTCATATTTCTTGTCATGACTACATGAGTGTTCCTCCTAGGGAAATGGTTCAAAATGACCTTGGAAAATGACCTTGAGTGAAATAGTAATGAGAGTGGGTCATAAATCAATGATCAAAATTAATCAAATTCTATGATTCTAAAATTAAAATAAGAACCTTTTAAAATAAGAATCCCATTAAATGTGTTATAGAAGGGGGCTACCAAGGCATAGAGAAGTCTAGTAACTTAATATAAGTGGTGGAACCAAGATTTGTAATCCAGATGATCTGACCCAAAAGCCCAGGATCTTAGTCATTTGCCCCTAAAAGGGCAGAATTACATCCTGTTCACATCACTGTTAGCACCATGTGGAATGTACAGATGTGAAAGAGAAAATTAAAGTAAAAAGAATATGAATCATAGCAGCAATGGATGAATCAGACAGTATCTTTTGATGAACTTAGAAAGCCCATGTGCCATAACTACTAGACTGCAGGTAGACACAAGTGGCAGCAAAGAACCTATATAATCTACAGGAACCAGGGAGCCTGAAGATACGAGGAGCACAGAATTTGGAATGAGCAGAGTGACAGGAGAAGATATTGGGAAGCGAGCCTGAGACCATGTCTGACAACCAAGATGTTAGCAATCCTTAGAAAGAATTGGTGGTTAAAATAGAAGCTACCACTGCATAATGTAAGTGATCCATTCTGGGTACATGTGATCCAAATATCAGCTGGAACTGATATTTATTAGACCTGTTTTCTAATATTTAGTTAAATCTTCATAAATTTACATTCCCTTTCCCCCATACATACCAATTTCAAAGGGATCCTTGAGAGCTCACCTTTCCTCTGGTGCCTACATTTGAGTGTCTGCACCTATGAGTTCTCAAACTCACTCACATCTTACTTCCAATGACTGTCCTTTTCTCTGTTGTCCATAAAATCCCAGACACAGAACATACCTCCTTTTATACTATTTCTCCCAAAACTATTCTCAGAAGGCATTCCGTACACTGCTTTAGTACAACAACCAATTTTAATTTTATTTATTTTTATTTTTTTCCAATTCTAATTTTAATATTACACATCCCTGTTCAGATGTCCTTTTATTGTACTTTTAATGTCCACCAGGCATTCTTCAATGACCACCCTTGCCTGCGGATTTCAGCCAATGGCTGTGCATCTTCATTCTCTTTTTTCTTCACCTGCCCTCTAATTTGTTCCTTGGCTCAAATTCAGTTTCATGCTGATTTCTCATACAGAATAGTTTAGCTATCTCTTCCTCCCTTACTTAACAAGAACACCCAAACTCTGTCAAAACATTCCACCAAGGTATTTTTCAAAACAAAGATAATCCCTTTCTTAAGTTCTATCCTTGTGCCATATAATATTTCTACACTAAGCAATAAACAGCTGCTACTAAAATCTCCTGATGCCTCCCTACCACTTTCTTGGATCTTTTGCTGAGACCTGAGACCTCCTTCCAACAATCCAGCCATTGATAAGATAGAGATCTTAGAAGGCTTTGCAAGCTAAGTTGCTTCAGGCGTGTCTGACTCTTTGATCCTGTGGACTGTAGCCTGCCAGGCTCCTCTCCTTGGGATTCTCCAGGCAAGAATACTGGAGTGGGTTGCTATTCCCTTCTCCAGTGGATCTTCCCCACCCAGGGATCAAACCCAAGTCTCTTACATCTCCTGCATTGGCAGGCAGGTTCTTTACCCTTTAAACTGAATTTATTGCCACTAGGATCTAAGGTCGGAGAAGGCAATGGCACCCCACTCCAGTACTCTTGCCTGGAAAATCCCATGGATGGAAGAGCCTGATAGGCTGCAGTCCATGGGGTCGTGAAGAGTCGGACACGACTGAGTGACTTTACTTTCATTTTTCACTTTCATGCATTGGAGAAGGAAATGGCAACCCACTCCAGTATTCTTGCCTGGAGAATCCCAGGGACTGGGGAGCCTGGTGGGCTGCCGTCTATGGGGTCGCACAGAGTCGGACATGACTGAAGTGACTTAGCAGTAGCAGCAGCAGTAAGATCTTAGGTAGGAATGTTTATATTAAAAAATGGAGACTTCTGGTTTCTCCAAAACCTCCAATATGGCAATAATTTCTGTACTCTACGTGGGAACAACTATCTGGATTGGAGTAGTCATTCCCTGTAGACAGAACCTGTACTTGTTTATTTATATTATCTGTCAGGCCCGAGGCTATTTGAGTATGTGATCCACAGTATATAGAGTGCTTTCATGTTCCCTAAATTTTTTATTGCCTGCCTGATTAAATTCAGTTTAACTCAATAAATCTTTTAAAACCTAAAGTAGTTGGCACTAAGAAGAATGAAATAAGTTATAGTTTAGACTATCAAAGAACCTCTTAGTCTAGTGAGGGCTACAGACACTTCAAAGGAGAATTTCATAAGTAATATGATGAAAGAAACAATAAAAGTAGGTACAGGATAGTACGGGAACTGATAAAGAACGTTTCATTCAACCCAGGTCACCAGGGAAGGCTTCCCTGGTGGCTCAGATGGTAAAGCATCTGCCTACGACGTGGGAGACCCAGGTTCAATCCCTGGGTCAGGAAGATCTCCTGGAGAAGGAAACGGCAACCCACTCCTGTATTCTTGCTTGGAAAATCCCATGGATGGAGGAACCTGGTAGACTACAGTCCATGGGGTCACAAAGAGTCGGACGCGACTGAGCGACTTCACTCACTTCACTCACTACCAGGGAAGGTTCTGATATGAGATGAGTTTACAAGATGATGAGTTTAGAAGGATAGGGAGAAGACAATTCCAGACAGAAGAGCAGGTTTAAAAAAGGGAAGAAGACATAAAACAGCAGATGGAGTAGGAATAAATGCAAGGGTTTGGTTTGGTTTGGTTTGGTTTTTGAACAGTCTGCAATTTCTGACACCACAGCCCTATTTTAACCTATGGCAAATTTCTTGTTGACTAGACTTTAACCCCGAGTTTTATCTTTATTCCTTTCTTATAGGTGTTTCCTCAACCTTGATCCACTCCAGGATGTACTGGTTTCTACCAGTGTTAATTTTCCATTCTGCCTTCACAGTCACCCTCCAGAGAAGTGTGAACCCCCCCATACACACACACTTTAAGAAAAATGTCACGACACCACTTCCAGGCCTATGACTTTTCAAAAGGAATTCAAGCCAATATGAGTCAACTTCATCTTCTTGATCGACCAGACTCTATCTTCAAAACTAGATGAGTGTTCTATGATTTCTCTCCTGGTAGTTAACAAATCTCTTTTAAAATACTATACATGTTTAGTATTAAAGCTCATGGATCAAACTCAATAAGATAGTGTTACTATAAATTTGTTCCATTTATTGCTTAGCTCATAGAGCCCCTACTATAATACAGTGTTCTTAAAAGCATCATGGGGGAAGAGTTTTGTCTTGTTTACTGCTGCATCCACAGTTCTGCAAACAGTATTTGACATGTAGTGCTCAACACATTACCTATTTAATTAATGAATAAGATTTGTCAAGGATTTTAAAAATATATTTTTGCAGTTTCACTTGCATAACTGTTTAAAGTGCAACCAAGTCTCACCATCTTTATCAAGCAAATAAAATTAGTGTGAATGAAGGGTTAAAGTATAGACCATAAATGTTTCTTCTTGTTGATATTTAAAAGAAAATTTGGTATTTAAATCACAGGCTTACTTTAGAAAAGACAGATGATCAGTTGCAGAATTATTTCAATCTCTTTGTATGGTGTAGGGATCCAAGCAACTAAGATAACTAAATCTTTCTCTTCAAATTATAAGATATATCAAGTGGTAATCTGGGAATTATTTTATTGTGTTATTTATAAGGTATTTCAAGGAGAGAACCAAATGGACATAATAGCAGCACTTTAGGGAAATAACCTGCCCTCTTACTTCCTGATTACCTATTTATACACAATCTTGTTCCAGAAAAGATGGATTGTGGCTTGCAAAGTTACATAAAATACCTAGATAGCATAGATTAAAGCAGAACAAAAGGAAGGAAAAAAGGACATAAAATGCTACTAGAAAGAGTGCTAAAATGCAAAATATACTTCATGAAAGCTCATACGATTGCCGTAGCTGAATCAAACTTGGCCCTGAGCAGTCTGTCAAGTCCATGGGAGAATGGAAACCTGATAGTTCCTCAGTGCACCGGGTTCATAACTTAGAAACAGTGATTTATCAGGATGAGTGCAATGATTATTGTTGTAAGATCAGACAGGATGTGTTCATCCTGTGGACAAACATGCAAGAAGATAAATTGTCAAGGTCATTTATTCATTTTAATCTATGAGAACGTATTTTAACTGTAAATTTTTTTTAATGGCTCAGCCTTAGTTCATACTAGCCAGGACCTTAACTCTGCCAGGTCTGGGCTTGTGTGGGAATATTTCCTGATTAACTCTTAAGAAGCAAATAAAAATCAGAGGGTTTGACTAGACTGGTAGCCATGCAAGTAGTACTAGAATCAAAGTCTATTTGAATGAAACCTATAATGCAAAACATTTTCTTTTAGCAAATTAGAATCTGTCCAAGGATGGAACAGCACATTCTAATTAATGGTCTGTGTAGCAGACAGATTTAAGTTCGGAGGCACAGGAAACTTCGACAGACTTCTCCCTACTAATAATACAAATCAGTTTTGCTCCATTTTGAGGCCATAAAAATGTCTAAGACTTTTAGGAAATTTCACAAGAGGCCCATGGAATGAATATATGCCTACTATCTATGAAATTTTTTTAGTTTCATGATTTTAGTTTAACTCTCAAACTTCTTTGAGTTAGATAGGTTGGTTTCATCACCTTCATTTTGCTGATAAAGAAAATGAAGGCAAAAACTTAACCAATGACACAACCAGGAGCAACCAGAATTTGAATCCAAGTCTGTCCAACTCCAAAACTTCTGTTTTGTCTTACAAACCCACAGAGTTCAAGTCCTACATAAGCATTTAAAAGCATGAAGTTAGTGGCTTGAAGTATGTAGCAACTTTAATCCTAGTTGGGTCTGCCCTGGTGGCTCAGATAATAAAGAATCTGCCTGCAATGCAGAAGACCTCGGTTCGATCCCTGGGTTGGGAAGACCCCTATAGAAGGAAATGGCAACCCACTCCAGTATTTTAGCCTGGAGAATTCCATAGACAGAGGAGCCTGGTGAGCTACAATCCACGGGGTTGCAAAGAGTCAGACACGACTGAGTGACTAACATTTTCACTTTATTTCTAGTACTCATACATAAGTATTAGTCTTTCCTTCAGAATAAAGAGGATACTTCATTGTCATGGGAAAAAGTCTTGCATTGTCCATTTATGTAGAAAAGTCTACGTAAAGTACTCTGAACAGAAGAGATCAAAATGAATATACTTGCTCTGTTTATAATGGTTCATTTTTAAATATTTTTTTATAGAAAAAAATGGTACAGATAGCTCTTAATATAATCACAAAGGCAGAGAACATTCTCTCACTTCATCTTGAATATCAAATATCATAAGGAACCTTTCTAAAGGAATATAGCTATTGCTATAATAAATTCACCTTTAGCTTCTCCCTCTTTCCAATTATTGAAAGACATCAATTCTTCAGCACTCAGCCTTCTTTATGGTCCAACTCTACATCCATACCTGACTCCTGGAAAAACCTTTGAAACTACTGAAAAACCATGTAGTCAAAAAGCTTTGACTATATGAAAAATCTACTATATGGAAAATGTACCTCAACAAAATTCCTTTCAAAAAAGAATAAGGTACAGAATAAATTATAGATTTTTTTTTTCAAGAAAACTGGGGTGAGGAGGTAGAACTGCTACATGGATTTGTCCTCTGAACAATATGTCAAATCTCACTGGTCACTAACTTCCCTCTACTCAAAGCTTTTCCATGCCCCTACATTTATGATTATGTGTTTTGAATGAGTTGAAAGAGGAGCATTCACACTTTGCCACATGTTTTTCTCCCAGCTTTTAATGTGGATAATATTCTCATTTATTTATTAATTCACTTTTAGTCACAGCCCACCTAATGGTATGCTAATCTTTCCATGGCTTTTTTTCCCTAGAAATACACATGGCTATTAAAGCAGCAACTGTTCTTTCAGTTTCTTCTGAATAATATAAACCACTAGATTTACAGACGGTAACCCAGTAGTTCCAGTTTTTCAGAGACTTTCTAGATTTAAGCACCGAAAGGCCCATGTCCACAGAACTCCTTGATCCCAGACAAATTGGAACAGTTGGTATTTCTGCACCATTCATACTGAACAAATGTATTGCAATTGTCTTTAAAATATTCCAAACCATTAGAAAGTGAAGTGCCGTGAAAATATTATTGGACTCAGAATCTCAGCTTTCTGATAGCATCCTGTTTTGCCTTACATTCTGTGATTTCAGCAAGTTAATCAAACATGCAAGGTTGTCATTTATAAAAAGAAATTGAAATATTGGTCTTCATTATATTAGGGCTGTTATGAAGGTCAAATGTAGTAATGGTCATGCAGACAGAGTCTTGATGAAGAAAATTCTATGTATGTTATCTTTTCTGATCTTAAAATTTAGTACTAAATGGTATTCCTATGAATTCATGATGGTTACAAAAATTCAGAAGTTAAAATGAAGTTATATACATGAAATTTTTGTTCTTTCATAGAGATATTTCATATCCAACCATATCTATAAGCAACTTTATGTTTAATCAATACAGTAGTAAGAATTCACGTCTCTACTGGTATTAGAATACTCTGTCATGAGAGACCCCAAACCATCCCTTTAACATTTGGACTACAAATATCTTCTCAGCTCAAAATGGATAAGTTAGAAGAGATTGTTTTAAGTACTGCTCTTGCCAGTGAGAATTTCACATATACTTATATTTTATTTTTTCCATTTATTTTTATTAGTTGGAGGCTAATTACTTTACATCATTACAGTAGTTTTTGTCATACATTGAAATGAATTAGCCATGGATTTACATGTATTCCCCATACTTATAAAAGACGTTTTTCTAGGATGATCATTTTTCCATAAGTTGAATGATGTGCTGGTAAGGCACCAAGCTTCTGAAAACTGATTTCTGACCGTCCCTTTATGAGTTGTATGACCTTAAGCCAGTTACGTAACCTCGCCATGCCTATAACCCTGCATCTGTAAAATGGGAATAATAATCATACCTCCCACATAGGACTGTTATGAGGACCACATGGTTGGCAATGGGAGAAGAGTGTAGAACAATACCTGGCACAATGCAAGTATTCTAAAAATTGTCAATATTTTACCGTCCTTATGACTGTCAGTAAATCACAGCACTAGGCACTAAGAACGAGCTATTGAATACAGGTAATTACTGCTCTCAAGAAGGGTATTGGGTATGATAAGTGCTTTTGGTAGGGACCCAGAGTCATAGTGTCAGGCAAGGCTATTCTAAAGAATACTATGCTTAGTCTCTCCCTTTAACTCAAGGAAAGGTTCTAATCTAAGCTTAGTAGGTTTGCTTGTTGAAAACCTTAATCCCCAGTCATTTCCAGGTTTTTAATGTGTTTAGTCTTCAATAACTTCTCCTCCCAATTTGAACATCCCTTGATGGAATGGGTATCTGCAAAAATCTAGGCCTTTCATCATGGAGTTGAATACACAAGCCTGGTTCAGGATTCAGAGACACTGAAAAAGAATCCAGAGGTAATGGATGTAGCTGTAGGCCTGGCGGCTGCCTCACAATAATGAAATGAACTAGCAGGTATGTGACACATTGTATAAGTTACAGAATAGCTATGGCTTCACTTCTGTCCTCCACATGCCCTACAGATTCTTTCTTGTGGCCCACCCTGTCTACAAATGTACAGAAAAGGGAATCTGAGAAATATAGCTTACTGTGGGCAAGCTAGTACCTTACAAAGCTTCCTCGTATATCTTCCAATTAATTGGTCATGACAACTTTGAGTTGCATTCCTATTTTGTCAGTTATTAACAATCCACCCTAATTCAGACTAGAAACTTGAGGAACAATGTTTCCTTCTTTTATAAAGATAGTGACAGTACTGCTGAATTCCTATTAACTTCTCGCTGTACCACACCACTTGAAATTTAATTAGATATTCACTTAACTTCTCTCTTGGTTAGAAACGCATTTGTCTGCAAATTTTAACCAAAACAAACAAACAAACAAAATCATGCCTTAAATAAAATAAAAATTTCTTTCTTTCTCACAAAAAAAGCGAAAAGTCTAGAGCTGGTCTGTCCATGGTCATCAGAAACCCAGACATTTTCTATCAATAAGTCTTAGCATCTTCCAAGTTACTTTATGACCCATGAAAGCTT